ATCTCACCTAAAAAAAATCCAATGCGCAGGCTGGAAGGTGGAAAGACCTTCCCCAGTTCTTCGTTCGCGAAGAGACTGGCCATTTATATTATGGTTGGGCCACCTTATTCCAAGTTTGAAGAGTAAAGTTTTAGATGTAACACTTTTGAGTTTTTCCCTTCCCACTCTCCTTCAATATGTATTGTCGATACATACTCAGCTCTATTAGCATAGTAGCAAATACATATCAGAAAACTAGCTGGAATATATTTTACATAGTTACAAGGTAGTGTCCTTGAAATTTGAGGGCAAAAATTTCAAGCAAAACAGGACTGCTTCTATCATTTGACTTAAGAATGCTTCCACTGTAGTCCTCTGAAAATTTGCATTTGGCAATCACAGCACTCATTTGCAGGGCGTTTTTGCTTGGGTTTAGCTTTCCTACTAGGAAGCCCTAAAAAAAACATTGTTCCAAACTGGATTTGGAACCCTTACATACCTTTCCTTACATACCTCAGTTTTCTAGAGTAACTGATGTGATTGCTACATCGTTCATATTTTTTAACATAACTTTAAGGGGATCTTCTCCAGTCTGTTTCTTCTCCCTTCTTTCTCCTTTCTGTTTTCCTCTAAAACAGAGTGTCTTGAGATGAAACCTTTCTGTTTTCCTCTAAAACAGAGTGTCTTGAGATGAAAGCTTGGCCTTCTGAAACCAATAGGAATTTTCTTGTTCAGACCCCATGTCTGGAAGAGAGAAAGGAGAACTGCACTACCTCATTACTGTCTTCCTCTGAAAATGTAAAGCAAAGGACATCACACGCCTGAATCTTGGCAGGGTTCAGAAAAATCCCTATTGCATAAATGCTAATGATACACCCTTTTGCTTACAGTGGCTTTAAAAAGCATGAGTCTTCAATCTTTTCCAGCATGTTTTATTTGCTTGTTTTATTTCTTTGTGAAGCTTCTGCCTTTTCAGTCAGGAAGTAAATGGGCTATTTTTAAGACAATAATTAATCTTAAAGTGTAGGAAGAGTGTCTGTGTTCCCTCTGCTACTCACAGCAAACACTGAGCAATGTGAAAGACTTGGCAGGGGTTCTGTTCACCTCTTTTTAAAAAGAGGAGAGTTCCCCAGAATGAGGATCCTGTCAGAGCATTTTCAAAGAAGGGACATAATTATCTTCACTTTTCTCATTTCCCACAAAGTGTTTTCAAGTCACCTTAGAGCATTTGGCTGGCTTAGATTGATGAATTCGTTCACTGCTTGCATGGGATGTTGCGTGGCTTCCCGGATGGTTATGAAAACTTAGGCAGGCAGAGAATGAAATAGGGAATGCAGTGTTTTCATTCATGGCTGAAGGAGAGCTCTCATTGAGCTACAGGAAAAGTTTTATCATGGTCAGATTTAATCCAAACCATTCTGTGTAGGTGCAATAATAAATTTTCCAGTTTCCAGGTAATATACTTTAAGTACAGCATGATATCAGTGATAGATTTCTTTTTTTATATACTCTAAGGCCCTTTATAGCTTTTCCAGTTCAGGGTAGATTTAAGATGTTGACAAGTGTCTTCAGAGACAATAAGGATTTTCAATTTCATCCCTCAACACTGCTGTTGAATAAGGCAGTGCTACTTTAGTAAGGATTTTAGCAGAAGCATGCAGGGAACTTTGTTTTTCTTATATTGACTGTTGCAGAACACTCAATTTTTGTTTTTCAGACTAACAAGGGGGATGAGCTTTCCAATCGCATCCAGAATACGTTGGGCAACTATGATGAAATGAAAGACTTGTTAACTGACCGATCAAACCAGAGCCATCTCGTTGGGGTTCCAAAATCTGGGGTTCCTCAGATGACTCTCCCCAAGCCTGATGAACATTTTATTGCAGACTCAAGACTGCCACCTCCTCCTCCCATTTCCACCACTACTTCTTCCAAACCAGCATCCTTAGCTGCCCAGCAGAGCAAAAGTACCACGATGGGCTGGCAGAAGACTGGGCATAATGCCACTTCAGATGGCCAGCAGAGAGTGAGCAAACACGGACACCGGTCGCTGGAGTCACACAAGGGTGACTTCAAGTTGGCGAACCAAAAATCCAGTCTGGAGAAACTAAAACGCTATGCATCGAGTCCCACCTCTTCCTCCTCCTCCTCCTCCTCCTCCTCCTCCTCCTCCTCCTCGTGTTCCTCCTCCTCCTCCTCGTGTTCCTCCTCCTCCTCCTCTTCCTCCTCCTCCAATACTGCCCAGCAAAGCTCACTGAGGGCCACTTTAGGAGACAACATCACTAGAGTGCAGCAGCCAGCAAAGCTCAGTTGTAGCTCGGAAGGAGGAACTCAAGCACAAGAGAGGCCAGCAAAGCATGGTGGTGGGCACTGCGTCCAAAACTTCCCACCCTCTCTTGCTTCGAAGCCCAGCCTGGGTCAGCAGAAACCAACAGCTTATGTAAGGCCAATGGATGGTCAAGACCAGGCTCCTGATGAGTCTCCAAAGATGAAGTTACCAGCAGAGACGACCAAATCATACAGGGGAGTGCCTTCCAACAAGCCTGATTCGGCCAGGCCCAAGTCAAAGATAGCCAAGTTCAGCATTCCTAAGCAAGAAGAAGTAAGTGTTTTTATACTTCTTATGACATACCCTTGTAGATGGATGGATGATGCCTTATTGCACCTGTTTCTTTTACACATTTTTAACATATTAGTTTGCATGTTGAAATTTTTTTGGTAACATTGACATAGTAAATTGCAAATAGAAGCCTTACAGTAATTTGAATGTATCTCAACAGTGAAATGCTCGCTGTCTTCAGGACCATAACACTTCCTACAAAGGCACATTTTCTAGTAGTATATATTATTTCACTGATTTTTTTCTGAGTGTCCACAGATGAAGTCTGGATTTTTTTTTCTAGGCAGGCATATTGCTTCTTACTGTTCATTGACTCCCTTCTCTGTGGCAAAGATGAAATGAAGTGCATGCGATCAGAAGTAGTTCTGCCATCCTTGATGTCAAAGTAGTTTCACAATCTAAATAAATTACTTACACAATATGAAATCTGTGAAAAACGTTATGGAATTTGTGGAATAGATGAGAATACAGTAAGGAGACTCTCCTTTTAGTTCATAGTTTATATTTCATTCCAGTCTCTGAGAAGACTGAGGTTTAGTTCTTAAGGAATTACCATCTGAAGAAACGCGGTGTAGTGGGTTGACCCAATACACCTGACCATGCTCTAAGTATGAGAAAGTGTCTGAAAAAGCTTCTAGACAACATTTCTGTTACCAGCAGTAAATATGAAATATTTCTGATTTACATTCATTTATTTCACATTCATTTTATGCCAGTAGGACATTTTGCTTTATCACTTCGACTATTGTTTTCTGTTTGGTCTTTTTGGATGGGGAGGAAATGACTGATTTTGGCAGAATAAAGGGTGATTTTTTTTTTTTCAGGGGTGTATTCAGAGGCCTGTATGCCAATTCAAAGATAGTCTCATCATCCTCTTATGCAAATTGGCATATAATATAAATATAAATATTTATAGTATTTATATATAGTATTTATAGGACTAAAAGACTATTTGACTGAATCACTGTGACTTTCTCAGAGAAGAGACAATGATTGTTTACTCCTACTTGACAGCTGTGGTGTGTCTTGATATGTTTTTTTTAGTCTTAAATTTTGTTTCTGGCATTGTTAAAGGAGAGGAAAATCTAATTTTTGGAAGAGTTCTATGGCCTCTTAATGCCCATTTTTCAGAAATGGAGTTGACTCTTGTATTCCCCCTTTGGTTTGGTTTGGGAGAGAAATCTCTCTGGAAGCAATTACTTCTGTGGTTTTTCTATAAGTGAAAATTCCATCAGTTCCAAACAACACATAGGTGATATGTTGTTCCTGAAAAAGGAGCTGTTTAGCCTCCTAAGCCAGATTTCATACACAAATTTAGCATTCAAAAACTGCTGTAATTGTGCAGATAGATCAGGTAATTGCAGATACTAATATCCATTTAACTATTATTGCCTCTTTCAGACTTGTGCTTCTATCTGCAAGTGGGAAGTATTGTTAGAATTAAGGATGCCTGTGGCAATTATCTGGCTCTTTCACATTTTCCCCCTTTACATGTACGCAATGCTCTAAGGACTAGTTTGGAAAGTAGTTTTGATAGGCAATCATTTTTTTGTCAGAAATTCAGGGTTTACCGTTTGCATTCCAAATTCACCGACCTCAGGAAAGAAAGATTTCATTTGTTGTATGTAATCCATGCTGATGTGTAATAGTAAGTTTATACTGCAGTTTCTAGACATGTAGACATATTTGAGATGGCTTTAAACTAACTTGTTTAGGGCAATGTAGATTATGGTAGGAGAGAGTGGACTGCAGACTAATCACTAAAGTATTCACTGACTTCTCACAGATTTTATATGATGCAGTAATAATAAACCAGGATTTGATAACATAAAATAATTATTTACTGAATTTGAAGGAGGTGGACAAAAGCCATTGTATGATAGGTTAAAAATAAATATTATGAAATATGTTGGACAAATTACTAAGAAGAAAAATAGTAGGTACTATAAATGTTGTGGTTTGAAACTGGAGCTAATGAAAGACAACATTTTGATCTGCAAGATTAGTGCAAGACAATGTTGAGAGGGCTGAGTTCTAGTGATAAAACTGGCCAGCTTTTTTTCCCTTAGCCTGATGCTCTAACTTTTTCTATCCCAAGTGGCACAAATTGAAACTGATAACCCACTGGTATTGCTAAAGGAGAAATGTTCTTAGAATATCACAGAATATGCTGAGATAGAGAGGACTCAAAAGGATCACTGAATCCAACTCTTAGCCCTACGCAGGACTATTCTCAAGAGTCACACCATATACCTGAGAGTATCATCAAACACATCTTGAACTCTGCCAGGCTTGGTGCTGTGACCACTTCCCTGGAGCCTTTTCCAGCACAGAGACACTCTCTTTCTAACATCCAGCCTAAACCTCCTGTGACACAACTTCAGGCCGTTCCCCTTGGGTCCTGTCATTGGCTACCACACAAAAGAGATTGGTATCTGCCCCCACTTATCCCCTCATGAGGAGGTTGTAGGCTGTGATGAGGTCTCCCCTCAGTCTCCTCTTCTCCAGCATGAACAGACCAAGTGACCTCAGCTGCTCCTCATATGACTTCCCCTCAAGGCCCTTCACATCTTGATTTCCCTCCTTTGAACACTCTCTAATAGCTTAATGTCTTATGTTGTGGTTCCCAAAACTGCCACAATATTTGAGGTGAGGCCTTACCAGTGCAGAGCAGAGCGGGACAATCCCCTCCCTCACTTGGCTGGTAATGCTTTGCCTGATGCCCCCCAGGACACGGTTTGCCCTCCTGGCTGCCAGGGCACTGCTGACTTATACATTGACCAAAACTGAAAAGTTTTTTTCATTTGATGTTGCCTCATCCATCATCCTCTTAAATTTCTGCTTTTAAACTCATAAAGTTTCTTCTTTTACATCAAATGTTCACCATCCCCTGTTAGGGATAGAAGTTTTAAGCTTCTTTCAGCCCAAAAGCTGTCATGGTCCTGTGAATATTTGCAGGCAAGATGAGGCTTCTGTTGTTCAGGATGAGTCTAAAGGTGTTGAACAGGAAAGACCTTGTATCCCTAGTGGCTGTGGGAAGAGTAGCGATGCCATATAGGATGATTGTGAGAGAAAGCAGGCTGACAAGTAGGCTACAGCACCTGGAAGCTACATGGAAACAGAAATGAGAGTGGCAGAAAGCTGCCTAAGAGCAGCCAGGAGAATATACGGAGAAGGAGAGGGGCAGGGAGCTTGGGGGTAGAGTATCTGGAATGCTGATGGTGAAATGAAGCTTTATGTCTGCTAAAATAAAAGGTGTGTGACTGCGATGGTCTAGGTAGGGTAGTTAGTGTGCTCTAGGGGTTGGTGTAGGCAGCACTGTGAGGTGTTGCTGGCTCCTGGTCACCTTGTTGTCCACCAGAACCCCCAGGTCCTTTGCTGAAAAGCTTGTGCCCAGCCAGTCAGCTTCCAGCCTGTGCTGGTGCTGGAGTTATTCCTCCCCTATTCTGGTACTTACATTTTCCCTTGTTGAACTTCTTGAAGTTGATGTCAACCCATCTCTTCAGCCTTTGGTTTCTGTCTGCATGTCTATTTTTGTCATTACACAGGTTTTTTTTACTTTCAGCTCTTAAAATGTGTTCATACTGATACTGTGGTCCAAAGCCTATGGTTTTCAACTTAGCCTAGACAAATCCTGCAGCTACCTAACTGAACTGAAAACTGAGCTGCAGAAGGCTGTAAGAAGAAAAGTTACAAAGAGGAGAAGCAGATCAAAAGGAGGAAAAATATGGGGGCTGGGGGGGGGGGGGGGGAGAAGCTATTGAGCCTGATCAGGTAGAGTAGTGAATAGAAAGAAATGACCATTTCCCCAGCTCTTGCAGAGTAGGGGCACATGAAGTGATGACAAGTTCTGTGTGATGTTTCAGTTTCAATTTGAAAACCATGTGACTCTGGGAAATTTCAAGATCCACAGAGAAAATGAGGGAACAAGAATATATTGTTATAAATCTTCTATTTGCAAATCCGCTTACTGATGCATCCAAGTTGAGTCCTCTGTTTCTGTGCACATATGTTTAGTTTATAGTACTTTCCAGAATCTATCAATATATCTAATACTCCCTCTATACTCTGCTTTTGTAAGAGCCCATCTGGAGTACTGTGTCCAGCTCTGGGGCCCCCAACATAAGAAGGACGTGAATCTGTTGGAGCAAGTCCAGAGAAGCAACACAGATATGATCACAGGGCTGGAACACCTCCCATATGAAGATGGGCTGAGAAAGTTGGGGCTGTTCAGCCTGGAGAAGAGAAGGATCTGGGGACACCATTTAGCATCTTCCGGTGCCTAAAGTAGGGGCCCACAAGAGAGCTGGAGAGAGACTTTGTACAAGGGCATGTAGTGATAGGACAAGGGGTGATGACTTGAAGTTGAAAGAGGGTAGGATTAGATTAGATATAACGAAGGAATTCTTTACTGTGAGAGTGGTGAGGCACTTGAACAGGTTGCCCAGAGAAACTGTGGGTGACCCATCCCTGAAGTGTTCAAGGCCAGGTTGGATGGGACTTTGAGCAACCTGGTCTAGTGGGAGGAGTCCCTGCCCATGCCAAGGGGCATGATTCTAGATGATCTTCTAAGTCCCTTCCAAACCAAACCATTTTATGATTCTGTGATACCTCTGCACTTTCATTTGTATTTACCAGTTTGAAGGAACCTTCAGTGGAAAAATTAATACATAATGAAACAAAGTTAAGCCTCCCTGTACGGACTGGAGAATAAAAAGTGTTGTACAAAGTGTGTGTGTCTTCAGCAGGATACATACTCCTCCTGTGTGCATCCCATGAGGTTTTCAGAGAAACAGGGCACAGAGTTGGCTGCAGTACAATTATTATTCACTGAAAGTAAAATCAGTTGAATACAAATTATAGACCATTACTTTTCAATACATGAAAAAGGTTGATTTTTAATGCAGTTCAATACCTCATATAATATTTTTAATCAGTTTTGGAAAGCCTTCAATACCTTGACACAGGCTGAAGCTTATAAA